TAAAATGACACATTCTCCATAACAAAGTTAGTTTCTTTTTTGTTGACCAGGTCCCCCAATACGACGTTTGGCCTGCGTTTTCTGGTTAGACTAGTAGTTCACTCTGCTTCAGTTGGCTTCTACGTGATGTACTCCACATATACATGCATGCATCAGTACAGGCCTTAAAAGTCTCCAGCTGAGTGCTGAAAACCCACAGTTTCTCGTTGCATCCTGATGGGGGGGCGCTGGTGAGTCGAATTTAAGATCTCTGAGTGAAGTGAAGTGTGACATTAGGGAAGTCTTACAGGGAGAACATGAGTACAGGTGTGTTTCGAGGCTCGTAATGTCTCTGTTTGGGGTTTCCAAACCAACATCCATGCCATACACCGTTTGGGTCGGCTACTGGAGGGTTTCCTGGGAAATCACTGACTTAAAAGACCAAGTTTTTGTCTTTCAGCTTTTCCCATTAGGAGTCATCAGAGCAGGCCCACGTTTGCTGGCATTATGACTTTAGCAGGAGTTTTATGTCTTTCCAGACATGTAGCTGGGGTTAGAACTGGCAACACGTGTAATTTCAGGCTGCACTGCATGCAATTGCAGGTTCAATTCCTAATGAAAGATTGTAGATTGTTTTGGAATTCATAATTGTCCTTTTGAGGGAATATCTTACGCTTCTTTAAAATCCTTGTTTGACCATACGGGTTAAACAACTGTGTAGCTTTATAGAAACAAAGCTGTATAGGTGAATACATTACATAGTCATAGAAAATGAAAAACAATTATTATTTGATACCCATAAAGTTAGATTGGGAGGAGAGTTTAGAAAATAACAAATTAATGCGCCAATAAAAGTACATTTGGGATTTATGTAACTAATAAATTTAATGTTTTATCTGCATTGTAAGTCGCTTCTGATAAAACACATAAACATAAAAATGCACTATCATTTAAGAAATTATTTTGGGTGAAGAACAGGCAAACTGAAATGTCTGAAGACTGAATGTTAACTTCACTGCTTTTCTAAACCAGAGTTGGAACAATGAATAAATCACTGGATCAGACAGGGGTTTTACAAAAGGGAAAATGTATTATAATGGAGGCATGACAAAAAGATTAGAAATTAGAAGGAAACTGACATTTGTATCTACAGTATGTTTGTCTGACTGGAGCCAGGCTTCAATATCTGAAGACTTAATGTTAATGTAACTGCTTTTCTGAACCAGGGATAGAACAGTGAATAAATCATTGGGTTCAGACAGGAGTTCAAATAGAAAAGATAATGCACAAATGACGAGGACGCATTATTAAGGAAATCAAAGCTCACAAAAGAGAAACAGTAATATGGACAGAAACATATCAGAAAGACAATTATGAGAACACCAAGAGTTCTGGCTGCTTTCAACTCAGATTTTCTTGATTGTATAGTGACTGAAAGCTGGACTTTGGCAGCTCCAACATGAGAGCGCATGGCACGAGCCTGAGAAACAGCCACCACAAATACTTTCATGTACAAAACTGTAATGACTGTAACTGGAAGTATAAAGGTTAAGACAATATCTACGGTTCCTATCATGTAATCTATATAAAATATGCATTCTCCATAACAGGAATTATGTATGCCTAACTGAGTCAGGTCATCTTCTATGAATAAAATGCTGTACAGGACAGAACAGAGCCAACACAGACACACACACACTTTAACTCTTTTCTCTGTCACTCTGGTCTGGTAATGCAGAGGCTGACAAATGGCCACATAGCGGTCAATGGAAATCAGCACCATGTCTCCAACAGAGGCAGAGGTGATGATGTAGGATATGTACATAAAAATACAACAAGAAAAGTCACCAAGAAACCAGCAGGCAGTGTTTCTGAGGATTTCTCCTGGTAGCAACAAGAGTCCAACAAGACAATCTGAGACAGCCAGAGAGAGGAGGAGGATGTTAGTGGGCGTGTGGAGCTGCCTGGAAGGAGACAGAGAAGAACATTTAAAAACAAACCTGTACATCTTAATTACAAAATGTCAAATCATTATTAACAAGAAATATATCTTTTTTAATATATAGTACTGAAATGTTATCATTTGATTATTTCCTGAGATCAAGGATGGATCATAACTTTTAACAGGCTCAGCTCATTTCTTTGTAAATTTACAAAGCAACAAAAGCACAGATTATGTGAAGAAAAGATCTCTGCCTGTAGTGGGAGATGGAGATGATGACGAGCAGATTGAGAATCACAGTGAGCACAGAGACGAAGGACAACGTGATCTGCAGGAGTACCACTTCACCAATGGAATACGCAGGCTTTCTGCAGGAGCTGTTAGAGAGATGAGGAAAACAGAGCTCTGTTGTTTCCCAGATCTCCATCTTCAGAGAGCTGAAGCCCCGACTGCTCTCTGAAACAAACATGTTTATATAGCTCATACTATGACGCTCTTCTGTACCTCTAGCACCTCCTTTTTTAATACTCAGGTCAACATCAATGTTCCATCTTTCTCTCTTTGACAGCAAAATTACATCTTCCTGATTTTCCTGCAACTTTTCACCACTTGATGTCACTCTCATATTTCTACTTTGATTCTTGACCCACCTGTTATCCTTTGAAGTAATTTAATCAATGTAAATGTTTAAAAAATTTAAAGACAACTTTTTGTGTTTGCCTCCTGTTTTCGTACCTTTCCTAATTTGAATGCACAACTGAGCTGTCTCAGCTGTGTGAAACTTTTCTGTCTGAGTGTGACCTTTGACCTCTCATCCCCACACCTGCAGGGGTAGGGGGGACACACTGGGAGAGGAGAAGCAGCTTTCTTCTCAGCCGTTTCCATTGCCATGGACATGAATCCATGTGTGTTTAGATGAACTACTGCAGAACAACACCACTGAGTGTGTTTGGAATGCTCAGACTGGAGGGGCACCACTTCTAAGTGAATATCTTCATGAGAGGAGAGGGCCGGTGACCAAGTTGAATCAGGATGGGTCATTCTGTGGGAGCCACTAATGAAGACACCAAACACACTAACTGTAAATGTCACAGTTTGACCTGATGGTGGTGCCACAGGAAAGTCCTAAATGTCCCAAATTCTTTAGCCGCCAGGTCTTTAACACTGTAATGCCATTTGTGTACTATTCGAGACACACGGTTTCTGAAATGTTCTAAATCCGAGACGTTTTGCATTAATTAATAGTAAAATCTTTGCTCAAAACCGTGTCGTACCCAGTCAGAAATCCCTGAAAACATCAGGCAGAAGACTGCTTGACAATAATCTTTAGTTATCACAAGATAATAAATTATGAATATTCAAACATTGTTTTAGTCTTTTATTTTATTTTGTTGAAGATAAAGACTTAAAATATCAATTATTTCTATGTTTTATATTTTGTATCTATGTACTTTTATATCATATCTAATTTTCTTTTTGGGTCAGACTTTAAAGGGTTCAAATCTGTGTCTGAGAGGGACAAAAGTGGAGTTTCCTCAAACCTAGAAACAGCTCCTGCAGGGATATTCTTCTCTGATTACCTCTTAGTTTGTGCATTTTTATGGGAGAGATATGAAATGCCCCATTCATATTTAGGTGGGGACCTGACCTATACTGCCTCCAGCATTTCTTCATCAAATCATGATGGACTTATAGTTATTTCTTTGAAGTACTGTTGCCATTTGAACATGTTTCTTCTATCTATGGCCCCGAAAATATGATCATTTAAAATGACACATTCTCCATAACAAAGTTAGTTTCTTTTTTGTTGACTCAGGTCCCCCAATACAACGTTTGGCCCGCGCTTTCTGGTTAGACTAGTAGTTCACTCTGCTTCAGTTGGCTTCAACGTGATGCGCGTCACATATACACGCATGCATCAGTACAGGCCTTAAAAGTCTCCTGCTGAGTGCTGAAAACACACAAGTTCTCGTAGCATCCTGATGGTTGGGGGCGCTGGTGAGTCGATTTTAAGATCTCTGAGTGAAGTGAAGTGTGACATCAGGGAAGTCTTACAGGGAGAATATGAGTACAGGTGTGTTTCGAGGCTCGTGATGTCTCTGTTTGGGGTTTCCAAACCAACATCCATGCCATACACCGTTTGGGTCGGCTACTGGAGGGTTTCCTGGGAAATCACTGACTTAAAAGACCAAGTTTTTTGTCTTTCAGCTTTTCCCATTAGAAGACATCACAGCAGGCCCACGTTTGCTGACATTATGACTTTAGCAGGAGTTTTATGTCTTTCCAGATATGTAGCCGGGGTTAGAACCAGCAACACGTTTAATTTCAGGCTGCACTGCATGCAACTGCAGGTTCAATAGATTTTAGATTGTTTTGGAGTTCATAATTGTCCTTTTTGAGGGAATATTTTATGCTTCTTTAAAATCCTTATCTGACCTTAGGGGTTAAACAACTGTGTGGCTCTATACAAACAAAGCTGTATAGGTGAATACATCACATAGTCATAGAAAATTAAAAACAATTATTATTTGATACCCATAAAGTTAGATTGGGAGCAGAGTTTAGAAAATAACAAATTAATGTTCCAAAAAAGTACATTTTGGATTTATTTAACTAACCTAATGTAATGTTTTATCTCCATTGTAAGTCGCTTTTGAATAAATGCATAAACATAAAAAAGACATACTTCTCCTTTCTCTGCTTTGTGGTTATGTGTGGAACAAACTGCACTATCATTTTATAAAAAATCTTTGGGTGGAGAAAAGGCAGGCTGAAATGTCTGAAGACTGAATGTTAACTTCACTGCCTTTCTAAACCAGATTTGAAACAGTGACTAAATCATCAGATCAGACAGGAGTTCTACAAAAGGGACAACGTATTATAATGGAGGCATGACAAAAAGATAACTTGGAGAATACCAAGGCTTTTATTTCTTTATTTTTAAAGTGATTGATAACTGGGGTTTGCCAGCTGTAACTCTATCAAACTGGACAACAACTACGAGGTGATTGTCAGATGGAACAGCTATAATAATTTTTTTTTGTTTGTTCATACCTGAACCTGTCGTCATCTAGGTAATGAAATTAGAAGGAAACTGACGTTTATATCTACAGTATGTTTGACTGACTGGAGCCAGGCTTCAATATCTGAAGACTTAATGTTAATGTAACTGCTTTTCTGAACCAGGGATAGAAGAGTGAATAAATCATTGGGTTCAGACAGGAGTTCAAATAGAAAAGATAATGCACAAATGACGAGGACGCATTATTAAGGAAATCAAAGCTCACAAAAGAGAAACAGTAATATGGACAGAAACATATCAGAAAGACAATTATGAGAACACCAAGAGTTCTGGCTGCTTTCAACTCAGATTTTCTTGATTGTATAGTGACTGAAAGCTGGACTTTGGCAGCTCCAACATGAGAGCGCATGGCACGAGCCTGAGAAACAGCCACCACAAACACTTTCATGTACAAAACTGTGATGACTGTAACTGGAAATATGAAGGTTAAGACAACATCTATGGTTCCCATAATGTAATCTAAATAAAATATGCATTCTCCATAACAGGAATTGTGTTTACCTAACTGAGTCAGGTCATCTTTTATGAATAAAATGCAGAAGAGGACAGAGCAGAGCCAACACAGACACACACACACTTTAACTCTTTTCCCTGTCACTCTGGTCTGGTAATGCAGAGGCTGACAAATGGCCACATAGCGGTCAATGGAAATCAGCACCATGTCTCCAACAGAGGCAGAGGTAATGATGTAGGATATGTAGACAAAAATAAAACAGGCAATATCACCAAGATACCAGCAGGTTATGTTTCTGAGGATTTCTCCTGGTATCAACAGGAGTCCGACAAGACAATCTGACACAGCCAGAGAGAGGAGGAGGATGTTAGTGGGCGTGTGGAGCTGCCTGGAAGGAGACAGAGAAGCACATTTAAAAACAAACCTGTGCATGTTAATTACAAAATGTCAAATAATTATTAACAAGAAATATACATTTTAGTCTTCGCATCCGAAAGATCAAACGTTTAAATTATCATACAATCTTTTTTTAATTTTATACTACTGAAACAATTTCCTGAGATTAAGTTTGCATCATAACTTTTAACAAGCTCAGCTCATTTCTTTGTAAATTTACAAAGCAACAAAAGCACATCTTATGTGAAGAAAAGATCTCTGCCTGTAGTGGGAGATGGAGATGATGACGAGCAGATTGAGAATCACAGTGAGCACAGAGACGAAGGACAACGTGATCTGCAGGAGTACCACTTCACCAATGGAATACGCAGGCTTTCTGCAGGAGCTGTTAGAGAGATGAGGAAAACAGAGCTCTGTTGTTTCCCAGACCTCCATCTTCAGAGAGTTGAAACCCCGACTGCTCTCTGAAACAAACACGTTTATATAGCTCATACTATGATGCTCTTCTGTACCTCTGGCACCTCCTTTTTTAATTCTCAGGTCAACATCAATGTCCCATCTTTAATTCTTTGACAGCCAAATGACGTATTCCTGATTTTCCTGCAACTCTGCACCACTTGATATCACTCTCATGTTTCTACTTTGATTCTTGACCCAACTATTATCCTTTCAGTTAATTTAATCAATGTAAATGTTTATCATAAAAAAAAATTAAAGACAACTTGTTGCTTTTGCCTCCTATTTTTTTTATGCACATCTGAGCTGTCTCAGTTGTGTGAAACTTTAAATCATAAGTAAATAGCTGATTTGTTGTATTTGCCTCTTAGTTTTTTACTTTTCCTAATTTAATGGTATAATTCAGCCGTCTCAGCTGTGTTAAACTTTTCTGTCTGAGTTTGACCTTTGACCTCTCATACCCACACCTGCAGGGGTAGGGGGGACACACTGGGAGAGGAGAAGCAATGTTCTTCTGACAGTTTTCCCTCACCATGGGCATGAATCCATGTGTCTGTGTGTGTTTGCATGAACTACTAAAGATTAGCAAAATACTTCAAGGTTCAAGGCCCCACCAGATACACCGTCAGCTATTTTGAAGACATCAAGTCCTCATCTGAGCTCTTCAGAACACCACTGATTTAAAATATTGCGTTTTGAATGCTCAGACTGGAGGGGCAACATTTGCAACCACCACTTCTAAGTAAATATCTTCATGAGAGGAGAGGGCCGGTGACCAAGTTGAATCAGCTCAATCAACTCAATCAATTCAAAGTTTGACCTGATGGTGGCGCCACAGGAAAGCCCCAAATGTCCCAAATTCTCTAGACACCAGGTCTTTAACACTATAATGCCATATGTGTAATATTTGATACACACAGTGTCTGAAATGATCTGCATCTGAGTCCTTTTGCATTATTTAAGTATAAAAAACTTCGCTCAAAACCCTGTCGTACCCAATCAGATATCCCTGAAAACTGCATGACATTCATTTTGAGTTATGAAACGGTAATAAATTATGAATGTTGAAATATCATTTCTGTTTTTATTCATATTTTGTTAAAGATGAAGACTTCAATAAAAATGCTTAAATGTTACATTTGATTATTGAATTTTCTATTTAATATTTTTTCTTGGATCAGGCTTTAAAGCAGGGGTGTCAAACTCTGGCCCGAGGGCCAGATTTGGCCCGCGTTGTAATTATATTTGGCCCGCGAGACAATACCAAATGATTTCATTTAATTTTTCATTTAATTTATTTTGAAACATGATATGATTTAACAATGTTTACATAGAATGCTTCATAAACATGCATCATGTTTCAAAAAGGAGTAGGATGAAGCATAAGCTTTATACTGTACAGTGCATTAACCGCTCATACTACAACTCCCATAATGCTCTGCTGTTGTTCAGGGCAGGACCCAGAAACTCCTCTGGGACAGTAGATACACACTACAGCTGTCACTGTGCTGCTTCCCAAAAATGACCAAAAGAAAGGCAGGAAAAGGAGCTTTCTGCACAAGCAAATTTAATTTTGATATTTAATTCAGAAGAATGCGAATAGAAAAATGTTTTAAAATTTTCTTTCATAAATGAATGCCATTAATGTGTTTTTTATTTGAAATTGGATTTTGCATGTCTCCACTATTAAGTTATATAGAATGTAATGAGAGTTGCTTGTTCCATATTCAATGTTAAAGCAAAATGTGTTTTATTCCACATTAAAAGGTTCATTTGTTGAATCTTGGCCCGCGGCTTTGTTCAGGTTTGAGATTTTGGCCCTCTGTGTTTTGGAGTTTGACACCCCTGCTTTAAAGGGTTTAAATCAGTTTCTGGAAGGAAAAAAGGGGAGTTTTGTCAAAGTAAGATGCACCTTGTTAAGGGTCTGCTCTGAGCAGAGCGATTATTATTTTAGGACTTATTGTAAACAAAAACTGGACATTTTTGTGTCATGACCCCTGTCGCCTTTTTCTGTAGGATTCTGAACTCCACTCTCTCTCACCTCTCTCGACAAACCATCACCTCATTTCATATCTCCTTGACTTTTATTTTGACAGCAAATCTTTTTTCACATGATTGTCAACTTGTAAATTACAACAATGATGAAAATAACATTTATTGACAACACCTAAAAAGAATATCACAAATTTCTTTCTCATAAAAATAAATGCGAGATTAAATGGGCAGCATGGGGGTTCGCACCTCCTTCAGGAGGTTTTTTTGTGGAATGTTAGGGGACTCTATGTAGTGTTTGTGTGTTTTCCATGCTGTGGACGCATCATTTCTAGGAATAACCGGATTATCAGAATATCACATTTTCAACAGTCCAAACGACACATAATAAATATTTATGTCCTTGTTTTTCTTTCAATACAAGGGTGAAATATATCTAAATAAATCAATAAATAAGCATGCATGTTTCCATATAAACTGTTCTGCAGAGTAGTATTTTCACGATAACAATAATGATATTGATAATAACAATATTAGCAATAAGAAGATGAAAAAAAAGAAGGAGAAGAAGAATAAGTAGAAAAAAGTTGACCTGCAGTTAAAATTCAGTGCTATCAGATTAATTTTTCTAAAATATGTTGTCATCACGGGACCCAGGCTGCAATATCCTTAGAGTCAGAACATGCTGCACTGCTTTCCTAAACCAGGGGTAGAAAAGTGCATAGATCACTGGGTTTAGAGTGGAGTTAAAATAGAAAAGGAAAAGGATAAGAATATAAAATGTATTGGAGCCGCTCAACAAAACGTCCCCTACAAGAGAAACACAGTAATATGGGACGAAACATATCAGAAACACAACCACCAGGACGCCCAGAGTCCTGGCAGCTTTTAACTCAGATTTCCTCACTGAAAGTTGCACGTTTACAGCCGTAACGTGAGAGCGCACGGCCCGAGCCTGAGACACAGCCACCACGAACACTCTCATATACAGGACTACGATGACAGTAACTGGAAGTATAAAGCTCACAACGATGTCAATGGTTCCTGGAATATAGTCAATATTAATCTGACATTCTCCCTGGCAGGAATTATATCTCCCTGGTTTTTTAAAGTCATCTATTACAAGGAGGGTGCCAAAGCAAATCGAGCAGAACCAACACAGACAGACACAAAATTTGACCCTGTTTTCAT